CCCCCCCCAGGGACCATGTACAGTGTGTATGAGGGGGTTACAACTACAAAGACCTCTTTCCAACAAAATTCACCAACTTTTTGAAGTATTTACCCTTCACTTTTTTGTAGATTGTTCTAATGCAATATTATCACAGCAGGGACATATTTTTGTTTTGTTTCTAGCGCAAGATAGATCATCCCTCCCCTGCCTTTTTGGATTTCACTGAAATGATCCAGGAAAAACCATGTTTTGGAATTTCTTGCAGCAAAAATAATGTCTAAAAGTTAACAGGGAAAAATATACTTGAAGAAGCAACAGTATCATGTCCATTTTCCCTATGGAGAAAGTTTAAGGTGTATATATAGCCTGTAAATGTTGGGCTGCATATAGATTTAATTGTGTTAGCTAATTAAAAAAAAAACTTATGTTATATGTTACATTTAAAAATCTATAAAAAAGATACTTAATAAATTGTATTGTTTACATTTAAATTGGTCTGTTTTCTTCTATTTCTTTAAGCTCGGTCTGGAGTTGCTCCTGGTGACGTGTGGGTGTAGCAATGTTTGATTAATTTCCTTACCAGAACGTTGATCATTACAGCCCAAGTGACAGAACACACACACACACACACACACACACACACACACACAGGAACATGTGTTTATAAGAATCAGCTGTTCTGACTTTTTTTCTTTGACGTTCTTCATACAATGACATCTTCAGCTGTGTTTCTCCGTTGCATGTAATACCAGTTTTCTAGTAATTAATTTAACCTTTGACCTTTCTCATGAGAACTCTTCATCTGTGTTAAAGTGGTCTTCAGGTGTCACTTTAGATCTTTTAAAATTTAATATTTCTATTCAATTGGTATATTTTACATTTCAGCCTATTTTAATGACGGAACAGCAACAAAACTTATTACAATTCTTTGACTATATAAGGTAATATATTTACTCCCTAATTGTTCAGCTTCTTAATCATCTTCTATTGTATTCATTCAATAGGTCGGCATTCCCACAGCTGCGGCAGGAGCACCTCTTTCTAGTTTTATCCTGTTCCTGTATAATAAAAGCAAAGGGAGGGAAAAATGTGAACATCCAAACACTGAACCTATCCAGTAACCCTCAGTATGTTTAATACAGCTTTTAAAAAAACAACAAAACAGTACCTGAATGTGCATGAAATCATTTTTATATTTTATTACAACATTAGAATTTGTACATGTCCTCTCCTTTAACGTTCTATTTAAAAATTCATTACATAAATATACTCAAAAATGTAGAATAACCAAAGTCAGATTTAATATAAAACAAATTAAAAAACAGAAATATTACCTGATATTCAGACAGAAGCTGGAGGAATGTTTTCTTTCTTTTTTTTAACCAAACAGCCTCACAAATCAAAAGATCGTCTAATTTCCAAAAATATGATCCCTTACAAAGAAAAAAAACTCCAAGATTTTTAATGATAAGCCCACTTTTTTTTTTACTGTTAAATTAATCAAGGGTACTTCATAAATGTAAAGATTAGTATGTACTTGAGAAACGTAATGAGTTCACCCGAAGTGAGAACATATGATAATGACCAACCAAGAAAATATATTAAAAAATCTGTCCTTGAATTATCTCTCCAACAGCTGGTCATTAATAACCTTATGGTCACTAAACTGCAATCTGAGTTCCAGCCAAAAAACACATGCAAACATAAACAGACCGTCCACTGGTGCAACCCTGCTCCTGGAAGCTCACCTTGTGATAACCTACCAGGGTCTTGTCTCAAGTTCCGGGCCGACTACCGTGGGGAATTCTACTCCGGTGATCTCATGAGAGTTAAGACTGGCCAATGTTTAGCAGAGCACCCATGAAGTCAGGCATTGGAGGTGGCGAACACAATGAACAAGCAGACGCTCATAAAACAAAATATACAAAAAGATTAAGCCAAATTAACCAACAACACCCTCAGTGGAAGGAAAGTGTACATCCATTTAATCCAAACGAGGTCAAGCAGCGTGGTAGCCTATTAACGTGAAAAACAGATTATGAATGTGATATAGAAAAATGGAACTCCTACAGGATACATGCTTGACCTAAGAGAAAATAAACATAACACATGAGAAAAGTGTTCTTAAAATGCGAGCATGTCACCAGTACGTTGATGTAAACCTCCTCAAGCTAAAAAAACAAACAAAAACAAAAACACAACCTGTGCTCTTGTGGCTAATTCATTCAAACAGTGGAGTGCCGAGTGGAGGAAGCCAGGAATTCTGCAGCAGAGGTGACTTTAATGTCAAGAGCTTCTGGACAGAATAAAGGGATTTGCTGAGCTGCACATGTCAAAACTTCTTACCGCCTCTCCATGCAGATGAGGAGGCTCGGGGGAGGGAGGTGGTTGGGTGGACACCGAGCAATGTCAATGTTCGAGAGAAGAGTGGGGGTGGGGGGAAAGAGAGGAAGTCCTGGCCGCCCTTCTCATAAATACGCAGTGCAACCGGGGTCCTGTGTTAATGGCCGTCTTTCTGAGTGATCAGGTGGTCCTGAATCCTCTGGAGCATCTCCTGCATCCGCCGCAGCTGTGAGGAGAGGAGGCACACGTCAGTCACACAGGATCATGCAACTTCTTCCCACAGCTCTGTAAAGTCTGGGCCCGGCCGCTGGTCGCCTGGGCTTTCAATGGGGGCTCATTATTTACACATGGCTGCACGGACAGCGGATCGATAACACAGGGAGATCATGTGTTCAGCCCTGATCACGTGACCTGTGCGGCGGACCAGAGTCGGTCGGCGAGGCCGCAGAACATCTCATAAGGGGCGACTTCAAGAAGTTTGTCGAATTCGTGAGCTGATGCCTCATTCATTTTAATACTGTGATTGTTGTACTTTATGCTTAAAGTGTGAATGCTGATTATAGCAGTCAGGAGGACACGCGGATTTCTACATGAAATCTTTATAGATGTTAACACAGAAAATAAAATAAAAACAGATGAGGAATAAATAGTCTCTTTATTCAGGTAAATCAATAGGGTTGGTTTGGAGGTGGGAATAGAAAGTGAAACACACTGCTGATGCATTATTGGCTGTATTTGACCACACTGCCTGTTGTCATGCTGACTGGACATACTGGCCACAAATAACTTTAGTATAAGAATGATGCTTGTCTTTAAATATTTCTGCCTGAGCACTGCAAGTCCTCACGGTGGGATGGAACTCTTTTATATGTCTAGTACATGTTAGCTACCCCTAACCCATAACCAGCAGTTTATTATTACTCACTCTGTGGTCACTGAAAGAAAACTTTAAACCAAAGTGGGCTCATATCTGAAGAACAGAAACGTTAGGAATCTATTAGAGGATTTTGATAAAAAGCTTATTCTAGTGATGTTTATTCAGCTGATGAACCAGAACTGATGACTTGTTATTAACTCAGTAACATGGTGCTGGTGGTATTGTTTTACAACTTTATTTCTACACTTGTCATCCCGAAGGGGATGTCATCCAACAACAACTTCTCTTAAATTCTGACTCTAGATGAGGGCATAACCTCATGTGGAACCACACCCTCTTTCAATTCTGAGGTTTAAAGTATCAAGACATTCACAAAATGGGACTAAAATGCAGAAGCAGAGAGAAAAAAATAAGCAGAACCGTCCTGCTTCCTAATGACTGGATGCTCCTCCTCTAAATCCAGCCGTTTCTGGCAAAAGGCTAAAAGGTTATTTGAATCAATTAATCTTAAATTAATCATTCATCAATCATTCATAAAATACAGAACAACTAAGAACTGTTTGGAGGAGGGCTAGGGAGATTGTCTCTACTTGCTAAAAAGGAAACGAGGCGACAGATGGAAACATCTGGTCGTAATTGCCAGCAGCATATTTGCAGGAAACCTAACGCATCGTGTCAGCACAAACTGTCCATCATGGTGGCGGAGTGCTGACGATTTGGGCTTGTTCTGCAGCCAGTGAGTCCACCACACATTCTTCAGATGTGAGGCCATTTGTCCAGCTAAGAAAACTTTGAGGCTAACTTCAGGTTATTGCATTTAATACACAGGGTGTATTTAGTTTTCAGGCACTATTTTAGCATTTGGCTTACCATTGTTTCTTATCAAATAAATGACAACACTTACATCTTGCATGTTGCTGCTCATCTAAAGGCTGATAATCATAAGTCATATTGTCTTACAATGTCTTGATAGGTCAAACCTTGGAATTAAGAAGATGTTCTCTCCTTGGGTCATGGCTGCAAACTGTTATGATTCTTCTGCAGTTAGTGGGGCATAAAATTAATAAAAAACAAAACCAAAAGGGGCAGAAAAACAGGTTATGTATATGTATATATATATACATATATATATATATATATACACATATTGAGTTTTTGGGGTCTTCAAAAACACAAGGATGAACTAAATCTGTGAAAATAGGACACTCAAAGGGCCTGGTCAGCTTTCTGATCTGAGGACATCTCCTGGCTGGGCCGAGGCTCTGGCTGCTCAGAGCTGTGGTGAGACTTGTGCTCTTGGGCATGGTGCGACTCCATTTCATGGTCGGCGAGCCGTACCTCCTCGTCTTTCTCTCGGATGAGCTTCTCGGTCTCGCTCTCTGTCACTCCGGACACCATTGGGATGGGGAAGTCTGTTCCACTCTCTCTGGTTAGTTTACTGCAGACAAATGTGCATCGAACAGAAACATTTCATATTCGTCACCGTTTAAACCTCGAATCGTTTCGAGGTTGTTGGTCATGTCACCTGTTACGAGGTTGGAATATTTTTTTGCGAGCTTTTCCAAACAAGAAGTCTGGGTTTGGGTGTGGGCGTACTTGCGGTTGCGCTCCTTCACGACCATGCGGGTCATGCTCTGGATGCACTGGGCTCTGTAGTTCTCATAGTGAGTCTCTCGGGTCACATCTTTGAGGTCCTGCATGTGTGTGCGGACCAGCATGTTCCTCAGCTTTACAAAATCGCAGTGAGCCGAGTTCTCCACTGAAAGCCACAAGAAAATATCTGCTATGGACTCTGCTAAATCACAGACGGCGGCATCGCTACCATGCTTTGAGTTCAGTGGAAAAAATGATCACCTAAGATGTCAGCTAATGCGTGTGCATCCCTACAAGATGTATCCAACATACCACACATGGTCTATATAATTTTGTCTTTTGCTTTTCTTCTTAATTCAGCTTAACCATTTTAAACTGAACATCTACCTTCTACAATGCCCCAGGGGTAGAGACGGCCTCGCACCCTTTTCCCTTTGGCCTCCACCACAGTATTGCTGCCAATAACAGCAAAGGGAATGCTTTCCTTAAAGGAAGAACAGAAAGGATCATAACATTAAAATACTATAAAAAGAACCTGGATAATGATTGATGAATGCTGCAGTGTAGCATGTTGGAGGTTGGTATTTGTCACGGTTTTCTTATCTGAACTCAAATCTATCTTCACTACGAGCCGTTTTCAGATAACAGCTTTACATGTTTCACAATCAAACAGTTGTCGTCCAGACCTCGGACTGCAGGAGCAATAAGTCTGAGAGAACTCTGGAGGCCCTGCTGCCCACCTTCAACTCCTGATCCTGTTGCTTAAAGTCCTCATCCTCATCAGAGTCACAGTCAGGGAACTGATAAATCTTGATGCCGTACTGCTCAATCTCCTCTCTGATCTTTGGGGTAAGAACAGCAGCAGAAACAGGCTTAATTAGTGCATCTATTATGTGACATAACACATGTATAGAGAAGAATAGTGGTTGTCTTACCTTAATTTTCTTTTTCTTGACCTCACTAGGGGTGAGCGTGTCTGCTTTTGACAAGACTGGGACGATGTTGACTTTCTCATGCAGAGCCTTCATAAATTCTACATCCAAAGGCCGAAGTCTGGAAAAAGTGCACAACACTCCTTAAGGATAGTGTGACACTACAATGCATACAACCGTGCTAAATAATGAAAATGATCCTGCCATGCGTGATGCGTGAAATCATGCTATATTTAAACTCATAGTTTACATAAGGTGATCATGACTGTACAATTGTAGTTTGATATCATGTTCTTTTAAACGTCTGATTTCTAACTACTTTCATAAATAAAACAATAGTTATAATAATTTTTGTTCCAATTGCACAAAAAAACTTTATTCATATTTGTGGGTTTGGCACATTTTTTAGTCAGAGATAGCGAGGTGTTGTGTCCGGTTAGTAATGATATAGGCTCATCAGCAGAGGGGGTAGTTTCTCCATCTCTGGCACAATGAGCGTGCACTGCACCATTACTTGGCTTTTATGGTGGATTTCTTCTCTGATGAGAACAGCGATGTGGAACAGTGCAATGTGCTGAAAAGCACCACATCAGCACTCAGCACAAGCAACCGATTAGTGTGAAAGCATTGCAGCAAATGTAAATTCACCTAAAGGCAGCTGAGGTCTGTGAGCAGGACCGGCTGCATTAACAATTTATTGGGCTGTGTGCAATACAAGCCCACACAGCAGGGCTTTTGTGATTAATCTCTGTTAGTGCAGACAGAGGTTGTAAAAGAACGTGTGCAATGCAATCAAATTGACCTGTTTTAGAGACGGTGGACATAATTGTTAAAAAAAAAAGAAGCCTCCCTTTGTTTTCTATTTAGACACTAATTCTGTTACAGACATCACATAATGCGGAAGAATTGAGTGACTGTCCCGCATTATTAGGAAAGAGACAGAGGACAGGAAAAATGATCCCTGGAGGAAAAGCGCAGCTTTGTCATACCCATGACCGAAGGGCGAAATGAAATAGAGGCAGCAGTGTACGCGGTTGTCCTGGATGTTCTTGCGGTTGAGGCCACTCTCATCCCTGAAGTATTGCTCGAACTGCTGGTCGATGTAGTCAGCCACTGACTTCCAGCTAGAGCAGAGACACAGAGACACACAACAGATTTTCAACCTCTGAGGCAATGCAGAAGCAACATGATTTTTTTAACAACAGCAGAGCTGGAATGAGGTTAGACTTCTGTGGATATTCATACAGCAGTTCCATTTAGTCTGAGGTTAATGGCCTCATTACGGCTGCAACGCACCATTCAGTGTTATTTACAGCATCCCCAAATCCAGGAGTGTCCACAATGGTCAGCTTTAGTTTGACACCCTTCTCCTCTATATCCACTGTGTGTTTGGTGATCTCAACTGTTTGGGTGATTCGCTCTAAGGGAAGACAGAAAAAAGGCTCGATTAACAACAACTAAATCAGTCCTGACACAAATCACAAAACTTGAACGTAGAGGTTTAATCACCTTCAGCATTGAGCAGCTTCCTATCTTTGTACAGATCTGTGAGAAACAGGCTGTTGACCAGGGTGGACTTTCCCAGGCCAGACTCACCTTCAAACAGAGAACAAAGAAAAACAGAGAGGCTTAAGACCTTGTGATTAGGAGTCAAAGTAAAGGGTAGGCTTGGGATCAAATGTCTTCTAATGTGCAAACCAGGATTTACCTGCCACCATGAGTGTGAAGTCAAATCCTTTTTTGACTGATTTGCGGTGCACCTGGTTTGGCAGTGTTGCAAAACCCACATATTCTTTGTCCTGGTCCTAAAAGTAAACAGAGGAGAAAAGGACCTGTTGGTGAGATGTACTGTAGATACAAGTCTGCGTAATAGTGTGTCTGTGTATTCAAACACTTCTTTAAAATACCACAAGAATTTAGCCCATTGAGTCAACAACACAGAGCCAAAGCCAAAAGAGATCTTGCTCTCATATGCCGTCTCATGTGAAAAAGAAGAAGTAAACATTTTTTTTTTCAACACAATCGCTGTGAACCTCAGTTCATTGTTGTTCACCAGATCTATGATGTGAATCAACCAGTCAGAGGATCCCCTTAAAGCAAGTGGCCTTCAAAGTACAACATAACCTCACAGAGCTTTGTATATCCTGTCTGGGTGCCTTCACCTCCTTTCATTACCTCAGTATTCTCATAAGGGTCAAAAAGAGCCCAGGGGCTCCTCGGTCTGGAGGGACAGACGGTTGATGGCAAGTCAAACTCCACACTTCTGCTCTGCGGCAAGCTGGCTTCTGACCCTGAATCTGACCTGGCCCTACCCGCCACAGGGGGCCGCAGATAAGATGGGGTGTGGGGGCGCTCTTGGCCCTCTGCCTCCCTGACTGCATCATGAACCTCGTGACCATGATGGTGTTGGTGGCTGTGCCCTCCATGATGCTGAGGGTCGTGCATTAAATTCTCCACTTCTGAGTCATCCGAATGGCTTGAATTCTAGATGTTGGAGGGGATGAATGAAGTGTTACATAGGGCGAGGCTGGAAATAAAAAAATACAAGATATGAGAGAATATAGGTACAGGACAGGAAGAGTCAAGGGAAAGATTTGGAGAGTGCTCCCACTTTTAGAAATGATTGCAGACCTTCAGGGAATAGCTTTAAATTCTACAGAAAAGACAAAAAGATTTCCCTGAATGGTTGACCAAGATGTTTTTTAACAAAGCTGTCCCTTGTTTTAGGGACATTTAATATGAACAGAGAGGCTTCTTATTTTATCCAAGAAATGTCTCTTATCTAGATCAAATGACCCTCACAGCCCAATTATAAAAAATGTGGATGAACCCTAAAATCCATCCAGAAAAGACCCAAAAATGCTTTCCTTTCACTCTTGTTGGACAATGTAAATATGTATTTATAGTTTTTACTGTCAGAGGTCAAAACTCCTGCGTGTATACTGTTTACATTATGGATCCCGGTTACCACAGCTGTCCAGTCACGCAGATAAAATTATCCTAGCTTGGTAAATAATGCAGTGGAACTCAGAAAGCTAAAAAAGACTATTTAATTCAGCTACAGGCTAATACTGTGACTCTACTCATATTTACTTATATCAATGCACACCATTTTAGGGGGTTGTTTTGGTTTGATGTGACAGTATGGAATCCTTATAAATGTCCAAGGGAACTGGGGTAAAAATGGTAGCTGAAGCATTTCAGGGGTGTCAGTGATACCTGAGCAGCATTCTGGGAGCTGCTTAGATTTGGGGAACCTGGGCAGGAGTCTTGTTCATCTGATGAAGAATGACGCTCATGGTCAATGTCCTCCATTGCAACTTGGACACTGCTCTCTGTAATCTTCAGTGAAATGGGTGCACACACGTGGAGAGGTTACATAAGAAGATAAACGGAGGGATCGTGTTGATATGGGGAGGAGAGGGAGTCCATCAGGGAGAAAGTGAGTGCACACGATTCAAGAACCATGACAGGAAGAGATACATTTTTTAGATGAGACAGAGGATGATGAGAGGGAGAAAATTTAAAAGGTAAAAAAAAAAGGTAAATAACACACAAAGGCACATACCATTTAGCAAAGAAACAGTATGATCAGACAAGAATAAATGACTGTGTTGAGTGAATGACAAAATGAATAAGTTGTGCATGCAGTATGAGAAGATCTTTCTATGGTTTTACCATGAAAATATCAGCCCATTTCCCATTTTTTTACTCAGCCTTTGAGCACCGCCATGAATGCGACATCCCCCAGTGTCAGCACCAGCACATGAAACTTCCAGTCGCAGCCAGTTACATAATTCAAAAAGTCACTGATGGTTTGATGAAACATTAAACAGTAGAAGAAAGATCTCCGCTGTACAAAGAGACTTGATGGATTTTAGAAAAACATTCAAATATTATTGTTTTATTTAAAAAAATTCAGCAATGCAAACTTCTTCAAAGTTTGATGCTAAAGCTTTCGCAGATTGATTCCATTTGATTATGGATGACCAAGAGAACTGTCCCACAAATGTCAAGAAATAAAATGTAATTCTGTCATTTCTGGATGATCCCTGTTCCCCATCACTAACAGATTCAGTTATCCTGGCAGTAACATAACTTGAGGGCAACAGAGAAATTGACTGGCTTTCCTGTTTCACAACCAAATCACTATGATCAATGTCCAACATGGAGGGCTCTGTGACCTACATAAGATCACTGGCTTTGACAGCTTTAGCAGAGAAATTATTGGAACCATAGAAAACGTCCTATTTTCTGTTCTAAAATGATCAGAAAAAGTGACTTTCAGCACATTCAGTTGAATATGCTGGAAAACTGCAATTCCTTACTAAATCAAATTTAGAGCACAAAGTAGTTTATCCTGAGAACAGTGAATGACAAAAGTGCATCCATACTTCCTTCCTCACCTCCACGATTCCTTTGCCTCACCTGTTGTATCTTTTACAGAGTGTAAAGCCTCTTCTTTTTGCTTCAGTTAAAGAAGCTCTTCAATCCAACTCCATCAGGCAACTGATAGTGGAAACATACAGCGCCAGCTTTTATACACCTCAGTCCCAGAGGACGCAGCGTCCTTCAGCTCAATTGAACCACCCAGCGCCTCAGGGAACAGATCAGCGGCATTGATGGGTCCCATGCCGCCATTGAAAGGTGATGCACTATGCCACACGCAAAGAGCTGACCCTAAAAACATGTCTCTACTAAAAACCGAGGTGCAGTTCATCAATCATAAACCCACGCAGACGGAGAAAAGTCATTCATATATATTATATATATATATATATATTGTATATATATATATATATATATATATATATTATATATATATATATATGTGTGTGTGTATTTTTAGGCAGCTTTCTTCTTGATGGTTATGCTGGAGTTTCTACTCACTTCATGACTTGGATGGCAGCTGGACCATGGTAAACAGCACTATGCAAAACTAAAAAATGTGAGAAAATGTTACGTGTCTTGCTTTGTTACATAAAAAAAAGGCTCTTGTTTTGTTTTAACAGTTCATTGGCAAATCACCCAATGTTTTCCAACACAAACAGACATAAAAATTCAACATTATCTGAAATATGAGCAAAACTAAAATATATGTGTACTGCAGAATTGAAAAACAAAAACAAAGTATAGCTAAGATAACCTCCATCTCCACCAGGGCTGTTGCTTAATTCATCTTCACGTGCATAGTAATGAACCTAATAGATATATTATTCATAGACGATTCATGTATCAAAGAGCTTCAACACACATGCTATAATATATGAATATAGTTATCTTCTAGATGAATATTAAATATTCAAATAGTACAAATAGTAAGCTGAAATATATTCACGTCACCTTCTTAAAATTTTTTGTTTGCTCTTTTGTTTGGTGGCATTCCCAAATGTGACTCTACCTTCTGTACGCCTCTTACTATCAGGTTGCACATAACATAAAACCCCGCCATGAGCCCAGTATTACTGTGTGCAGGTAGTGGATTCAATTCCCTCCAAGCACTCTAAAGCGGCTTTGTATGACAAACAGTGGGAGACAGTGCAACTTTTTTCTCCTCCACTCAAACAGCCAGGCAGCCTGCCCAAGATTTGTTTCTTGATATTAAAGGCTTTAGGGTAAAATACCAATTATAATAAGTTCCCAATTCTGGGAATAAAAAAGAACATCATATCTTAGATTATTCTTTAACTCTTTGTCATAATCGAGAAGGAAAAAAAAAGGCAAAAAAGGGTAACGTCAATAACAATCTGAGTTTGTTAAAGCTCCGGACACATCGCAGACAGTAAAAAAAAAGAATATGTAATGATAGTTACACTGGAGCTATTTCAGATGTTCAACAAAAGACAGACATCTGAATAAATTATAATGAGTTCTCATTTTCCACATGATAACATTTCTACTCTTGCACATCCTAATCTAAATTTCTCCAGTTCCACATTAGCACTTCATCCTTAAATTTGATCTATTCCAACTGAAGCAAATCCTTCCAAAGATCGAAATTAAATTTGACTCAAAGTCTAAAACCTCGAATGAAATAATGAAAGTTCACAGGCTGTTCTGTTCACGGTGAACGCCTCACAAACAGGTATTTCCCATAAGTCATTTTCTATAAACTGAAAAAAGGACAGATGACAGGTCTTTGTTTAACAGATCAATTACTGTAATCATGATCCACAAGATGTCATACTGATACATCAACGTCACTTTACTCAGCCATTCAAACAAATAAAAGGCCACCCCATTCCTACAAAAAAAAAGAGCAAAAACTTCCAGTGGCAAAACTGGAAAGAGTACCAACAAACAATTTACACCTAAAACAGCCTGTGCAGTTGACAAAAATCAGCCCTTCTGGGTCATTAATGATAATGGAAACACTATCCTCTCTATCTAGTATAAAGCCTGATGAACTCTGACATCAGTTTGACACATTTCCATCCGACACAAACTCAGAATCTCCCACTGGAAAACATCTCAGCTGAGACCTGAGCTAATTATGATTTCCAAAGTGGGCAGAGGGTTTTTTCACCTCACCCAGGGCGTACCATGAAATTTGACAGGATCAAAACTGAACCACCAAGATCTAGAACAGGTGAAACTACAGTGCAGCAGCTTCAGGTCCAGCTGTAAGATCAGGTCCAGAAGCAGTACATGCATGTGGAACTGCCTCTGAAGCCCCACAACTCATTCATGATTAATAAGCCTTCATATATAGTAAGTCAATTCGAGTCCATTTGCTTTAAATACTTCCTCAAATTACAGAAAATAACACTTTAAAGACTTCCTCATATTACTTGAGAAAAGCTCTAAAGACGTCCTCAAATTACCTTAAAAATATTTATCCATATTTTATACACATCAAATAAATGAGAGGGGAAATTAGACAATGGTATGTGGACTGAGACATTAGGCCTTTGGCAGTGTATCTTCCTTTAGCAAAGGCTACTTCGGCATTTCCTGCAATACAGATAAAAATGCACTTATGGTGTACTGAAGCCTCGCAATGGGCACAGCAGGACTCTTTTTGTACGCTCTTGAGGACATCTTGGCCTGGAATGTCCTGTTTGTCATGTGAAATGAGCAAAGTGGAACTACTGCAGCAATCTGGCTGCAGTGATATTTGTTGTGTATACAGTCCACACCAGTGGATCTAATGACTTTAATCAAATTTAATAAGCGAGCTTGGAAAAAAAATAAGACGCTGAACAGCTACTGACACAGGTAACACCGTTTTGTAACCAAAGGTTATCAGAGAGACCACGGCAGGAGAAATGACCGGGGCTAAAGCCTTCATGGGTGACCATACGGCCCCCGAGGAACAATTGAAGGACATGAAACCGAGCTGAACATAAACAAGTTGGGAGTTTGAAAAAGCAGTTTTGTTGCTGTTGGATGATGGCAGTGGGTCTGGCTGACACAGTAGTGATGGATGATGATTTGTTGCATTTAGCACAGCTCTCAGGGGGGAAGCCCTCTTCAAATGCTCCCTGTACGACATGGGAAACGCGAACACGAGTTGCATTAAGTCATAAAGAACCCATACAGCATGTTGTTATTGACCTTCTATGATGAAAGCATATTTACGCTTGGGAGGAAGTACAGTCATCAAAGTCATTTATTACCCATCTACAATAATTACCAACTGGAGCCTTGCTAGCATTCACAAAATGCTAAATCATTTTTGCTTGGCAAGCTTTTGTGCCTCCTGGCAGCAAAGCTTATGCATATGCATGCTACTATATGTTTGGCAAAGGCTGGTCAAATTTTGACAAGTGCTCCTTTGTAAGCATTGTCACAGTGATGTAATTCTTCTGTTGACATCAATTTTTGGATGTTTGTTTGAAATAAAAAGGCTTAAATATAAATGTCTGTGTGTATTCCTCATTGAATACCAGTAAACTTTCCCTTGCGATGAGGCCAAAACAGGTGGTGATGTGAGCCATGTGCGCTCTGTGTGAATGCTGTGGTTGTTTGGATAGTTATAGCGGAGCTCTGTGTGAAGCTGGCACAGAACATGGAGAGCAAAGGACAGAAAGACAGAAATAATTCGCCTTCAAAACCCTAGCCCATCGCTATCGAGTTCAGGCAAATAATTTTCTCCACAACTCCTCAGATTAAAAGATATGGAACACACGTTTAGGACTATGTGTGCAATTTCCTGTAGACCAATAAGAAATTCAACAGTAGTGTCCTAATGATATCATAATGAAGCTGTGCACTCCCCATCAGAAACTCACTCGACTGCATAATGCATTAAGGTGTTGTACCTGATCTATGCATTATGTTTCTAAAAGCCTCACATGTGAACAGCTACGCTT